GAGGTGTGCTGCACTTCCCTTTCTAAGTTGTGCTCTACAAGTAAGTACAAGGAAAGACTTCAACCCAATAGAGCAAATCCACACCTCTGGTACTTGAAAGCACCTCGAGTAGATGTGGCCACAGCTCTGTCAGACAGTGGCTTACCCCAGATCTGAGGTACCTCTTTCTCTGCTTCCTGCAACAGATGGAGTCCTTCAGAGGTTCAAGTACAGGCTGCCAGGCCTCCTAGTGCAGGGCCCATTAAACCAGGGTCCCAACAGAACCCAGTATGGGCTATGCCTTCCTGTTTCTGAACAGGTAGCAACTTCCAGACCTTTCCTTTTCCAGGCACTGGTTCACAATACCCAATAAGCATCACTCCTATGAGAGAGTCCCAAGAGCCTGAAACACTTCTGGGGCAATAATGAGGCTTCCTGGGAACTGATTTGGGCTGGCCTCCAGGAAGAAGCTCCCAGCTAAAGTCAGACAGCCCCTGGACTCCTAATGCTGACAAGCTCAAGCCCTCAGCAAGGCCCCGTGCTGGCCAGCAATGGCTAAACTAGCTCAGGAGATGAGGGGGCGCTGGGCAAGGAGCCCACTGTCTCCTCCTCATGACTTTCCTTCCTCCTCATCCCAGGAGCCTACTTGCCGGCCAACTGTACTAAAACTCCGGAAAACCATGGCGGGGAGGTTTTTCAATTAGAACATTCTTTTTCCGATCTGTGGATGATTCTTAAAGCAGCAAAAAGCCATTCTTCAGGGCATGTGGGGATTATCTGCCAGCAAGGCCTTGGCTCAGCTTGTGCACTCGTGCTCTGGAGGCCTGGCCTGGGGCAGCTTCAGAGCAAAAGAGAAAAGGCAGAGTCTGTTCTGGGGCATCAGGTCATGCAGACAGACTACTGGTAGAAAGTGTCCTGCTTATTCTGAAGCAATGTATTTGCAAGACAGCATAGCTTTAAGTATAGGGCTGGAGAACATTCCAGTCCCATTACTGGAGGATAAGCTCAAGATTCCCAGCAAGTCTGCAGCCTTTGAAGCAAACAATCCCTGGGCACAGAAGCTGCTCCTCAGAAAGGGGCTACTCTGTCTTGGTCACAAAACTGGGAGCTACATTTTCCTGGGTAAGATAGAGGTGGCAGTGGAGTAGGAGCCCTTGACAAGTATGAGTGTTTGTACATGCTGGAGAAGAGGCACAACCTCATAGTGGATTTGTAGGGGGTCACTGAAGGTAAAACTCTATGGGTAAGGAATTCACCCCAAATGCTGAGAATCTGGGCCACCTCCTAGCAGGTGAGCTGATTACAAACACAGAGTCCTGAGATCACAACCTCAGGCCTCCATAGGTCCATTCCTGGGTGTGGCTCTGCCTAGCTTGGGGACCCCTAGCTCAAGGGGACCCACCCTGCTGAGAGTCAGCAGTCACCCAGCAAGTATAAACTGGTTGAAGAGCTTAGCAGGATGAGGCAGCAGGGTGGGACCTGAGAAGGAGGGAGGGGAAGCAGAGAATTAGGGTACAAGCAAGAACCTGGCACTCCCTATATAACAAACTCGAGCACCCCAGTTTCTACCAGTTGGACACATAGCCCACTCAAAGCCTCTGGAGTCCTGCAGCAGACTATTTGTGGAATCTTTAGATACAGTCCCTCTCCCTGCTTCCATTTCTGTGTGTGTGCAGCTGCATAGTTTAGGCCTTTTGTCTTCAATATACTCTGGTGTAGGAATCCTACCTGCTCCACCTCTGGGTTCTGTTAGCTTTCAGTGTACCACCTGTTGTTCCTTTCCAAGCCTGGGAACTCTTCAGCTAAATAGGCCTACCTGAGCACTGCTTCCAGCTTTGCAGGTGAGAAGGGCCACCCTGGGGAGTCTAGTGATCCTGCTGGCCCATTCTCTCAGATAGTCACTTGTCCTCTGGCCCATCTGTTGGCTTCAGTCTGGTCTTCCAGAGAAGCTGTTTTGGTTACCTACCTGAGCTGTGGCCCCTCTGAACAAGAATATCACCGACCATGCCATGCCTTTCCTAGTAGTCCAGCCTGCTCCTCAAGCCTTCTACACTTAGAACAAGCTTCTGTGCTTTTAAAGCAATGCCTTGTTGGTAGCATTCCTGGGGGCTCCTGCCCAGTCCCCTTGGGCACTACTACCCAAGCTGCAAGGATGCCAGAGCCAGAAGGACAGGGTGGAGGGGAATATTGCAACTCTGAAAAGGGTTGGCTTCTTGGCCAGTCTTGGAGCTGAGTCAGGGACTAAGGCACAATATTGCAAAGGAGGGCCAGGGCCAGGTTCAGGCTAGGCACAGGTACATTTGTGTCTGGGAGACAGTTAACAACCACCAAAACCTTGGGGTAGAATTTAAGGGGAGTCCAAGGAAAGCTTCATGACAACCTGACAACTGAGAATGGGTACAAGATTACTGAATGTCCCTAGAGAGAGATGTCATCTCAACAAAGAGTCTTGGTCATATGACAGCACTTGGTTTATCTGAGTGTATAGCACTTATACATACCGGTATCCTAGCACTTAGGGGATTGAGCCAAGAGAATTGTTGTGAATCTGAGGCCAGCATGGACTTCATAGCACCTCTCCTCCCCCAAATGGTGCCTGGCTAAGGTAACTGGAGGTCGCTCTGGAAGAGGCAGGGGTGGAAAGCATCATTGGAAGATTCTGTTGGGGCAGTGAACAGGTGGGCAGGGCAGGGCATGACACCTACCATTCGAGTCAAACCCGTTTGCAGGCAAGATCCGCTGCAGGGCATGGCAGTCTAGTTAGGAGGGAGGAGTCCAAGCCTGGTCTCTTTGGCTAGAGCTGCCTTGAGGTTTCTGTCATGGACAGAGCCTGAGTCACTTTGGACAAGGAAAGAGCTTGAGATCTGCTGCAGCTCTTAATGACCAGCTATGGTATTGGATACCACTCTTGCTCATGCTCTACAGCTGGCCCTTCCTGATTCAATGCTCTGCAGCAGAGCTTTCTGTTTTCTGGAGGGCCTTGGGAGACAAATACTACCACCACTGTACTCCCTCCCGCCCATGGTGTATTACTTTGTGTTTTACATTCTGCTTCTTTTTGGGCTAGGTCCAAAAGGGTCTTGTGATCCATCCTAGGCCATACAGTTAGTATGTTTGGAAGCTAGGATGCCAAGCCAAATGGAAGGCCTTGGTGAGGAAAGGGGAAGAAGCATTAGATGCTGGCAACTGGCCTGGGACTAACAGAATTGGAAGGAGAAAAACACCTGTTGGCAGGAGACAAAGATTAACCACTCCTCCAGAACACACAAGGCACATCCTTTCTGTCTGATAAACCCCACAAAGGAAAGAACCCTCCTTTCAGAGTTGCAATCTCAGTTCTATCCCTTTCTTCTGCAAATGCCCCAGATCCTCTGGGCTGGTCTCTATGATCCAGAGAAAATGAGACAGGGTACCAACCTCCCCGAGCCCACCACTGAGAATAAAGGGTTATATACTGTCATCCAAGGGAACAAGGAGAGTGAGTGCACAGAAGGAAGTAGTCAACTTGACTAGGTGGCGGGCAGAAGAGGATGTCATCTGAAGAATGGCTGAGTTCAGTGGCAGAGGGATATAGGAAGGGCACCACAGAGTGTGAATGTGGCAATAAAGGTCTGAGGTGTGAGAGCACAGATGTACTCAGAAGACATGGGGAAGCCAGAGAGATTACAGTGGAGTGCAGGGTAACTGGTCTTACAGACAGAGGTCAAATATTAGGCCTTCTAAAGGCCTCTGCTTTTATCCCAAGAGCAACAGGAAGCTGTAGGAAAGAGCTCTAACCAGGTAGCATCTGATCACATACCCAGTGAAGATGCTTACTGTGTAATGGCTGAATGGGAAGGAGGATAAGTCACAGGCAAGGACACCCGTGGATAGATTTGAGGGCCACTGCTATAAAATTGGCAATACTTGAGGAAGCAGGACATCCCCCCTCTTTTATTTTCTTTTCTCCTTCCTTCCTTCCTTCCTTCCTTCCTCCCTTCCTTCCTTCCTTCCTTCCTTCCTTTCTTTTTTAGCCTATCATCCTGATAGGTTTTTGTTTAATCTGGCTTAACTACCTCTTCTATTGGAAGGACTCCCCTGACCTTGGAAGGGCTCCCCCGACCTCACAGTGAGGGTTAGGAACCTATGTTGGATGTTCTCTTAAGTTCAACACCCCTACTACATCACACACTTAGTGCCTTGCACGCACTAAGTATCCAAAAAACTTGAACGAATGGCATGTGTCTTCTGGCCTGCCCTGAGAGGTCGTCATGTTTTGCCTCGCTCCAAGAATGACCTTCCAGGGTGCAAGTTTTCCCAGGCGCCAGACAGAAGCTTCTCACTCACTTTTTTCTCCTATGTCTGACTTCCTGCATGATCTCAGCCATCAGTCAGCACCAACCCCCCCCCCAATCTTGGTCCTTTCCCCGCCCCTGTCTGGGATCTCCATCTGTAAAATGGATCTAGGCACAGTAGTTCTCTACAAACTGACCCGCCAGCATCTGTGGAAGTCGTTGGCCCAGAGCCTGGGCCAGATCTCGCAGGGCGCAGGCAGGGACGCCACTAGGCAGCGGGGGGGGGGGGGGGGGTTCACTTGGTAGAGTTCTCCTGGTCCCCGGGCTGGAAGCCCAGAGGAACTACTAGCCTGGAAGTTTTCCATGGCGGCAAAACTTTTTGGAGCTCGCTCTGAGCTGGGTGAGGGGAACCCCAGCCTTGATTTCTCCAGCAGCTCCGTCGGGCGGATCAGGGAAGGGGTGGGAGGACCGAGGACACTGGCGGGAGAATGTGCGGAATGTGCCAGGCACATCTACCTACCCCAGGAGAGGGCAGAGGAAGGGGGCCGGCCGAGGGGAGGGGCGAGGGGCGAGGCTCCCAGCAGCTGGAGAAAACCTGTTTGTCCTCCAGCGGGCGGAGCCCAGTCCGTGCCTCCTCGTTTCCCTGCGCGCTTCCCTCTGCGCCTTGCTCCCCGCGCCCGCTGACGCGGCCTGGCTGGGTCCAGCGCTACCCACCCGAGGGAGACCACGCACCACGCCCACCTGACCCTCTGCCTTTCACACAAGCTGGGCATCTGTACCAGGTAGGGTTGTTGATTCACTGTCCTAAAGAAGTGGCCTGACTTCGGGGAGGCAACAAGGAGCACCCAGTTTGTGTCCTCCTGGACACAAACCAGGGCCTCAGTTTCCCTACTGATAATTCAGATATTCTCCAAGCATCCCTCTTGGGGTTCCCGTCAGGGAGGCAATATCCTCGGTTTCTGCTTTTTACCGCAAGTGAAGAAACAGGCAAGGTTCTTCAGAGTGACCAACAAAAGCAGGTTGCTCTCTGGCTGGCATAGTCCCTCTGTCCTACTCATTTGTGGATAAGACTGATTGTTAGTAGACTGCCAGCGGGGAGGAGGCAGGGTGAGCCTAGAGTTGGTGTGTTGCAAGCATCACAGAATCCCACATCCTCAGTCAAATGTGCCCATCTTGTAGATAAAGTGAGGCAAGTTTACTCACGAATCCCCTCACTGGCCTGAAGCCCAGAGCAAAGGGACTTGGTGGTTTGTGATTAGACATGTACTGGGCACTGGGCAACCTCAGGGCTGGGAAGGGAGCTGCTCATAGACAGAAGGTGCCGAATCAAGCGTCATTGTGGTGTTATCAGAGGGATCTGCCGTGCACAGTCTCTGTGACTGGATTGTTTGTGTGGGGGAAGGGGGTGCCAAGAGCCTCGTCCTCTTTGGAACTGCTTAGAGAAAGGCTGAAAACTCAGATCCTCCTGTCGGCTTGGCCACTTCCTTCTGCACTGTGGCACCTGTCAGCTCCACTGGTGTAAAGAAGCCTCACAGGGCCCCCTCCTCTCCAAGGCTGTGGAGTCTGTAAAGTTTATTGGGAGTTGTGTTCTTCACAAGCCATTTGTACTGAGTTTTGACAGTAAGGCAGGTGGTGACACCTGCTCTTGGTCTTGTCTTGCTCTTTGGATTTCTAGTCTAGACTGGGGCAGGAAGCAGGTTTCCACAGACTGATAAACCTGACTAGTGGTGAGGGGCTCTGAATTGGAGTAGGCTTATGAAGTTCTCATCTTCCCACAATCTCAACTGGCTCATCTGCACAAACAGTGCCAGCTTGGTTGCCAACAAGTCTCCAGGACACAGGTGCACATACCAGGTACAATTTGCTGGAGGGCTTTGGAGAATGTGTTGTTCACTTCACCACCCTAGCCCACTCACTACAAGATTACAAGATTGGAAGGAACAGAACCATCCCAACTGACCTGTTCCCATCAGTTATCAGAGCTGGCTGGGGTTCTGCACTCAGTGGAGCGGAACTGATAGATGGTTGCTGAGCTGGGCTCAAAACTCAGTGTGGCCTCTGGGCCTTTCTCTTACCCATGGTGCTGTAAAGACACTATCTTCACTGACCATGCACCCTGCTACAGGTGATATGTTGGATAGTTTTATCACCCTGATCTGCCATCAGAGTCCCCTTACCACAATGCCCTGGTCCTGGTATCAGCTCCATTGGCATAGCTGGTGTCAGTTCATTTTTCCCCAAAAGAACCTGAGACATAGAATGAGGGCTTTACCTTCTCTTGTGGATCCACATGGAAACATTTGGCAGATCTTTTCAGCTAACTGTCCATGCTAGAATGACCAAAGTAAGAGGGTGTGGGCAGGGAAGAGGGAGGGGGTCTGGGTACAGAAGAAGCTGGAAAATGCAAAACCTAGAGGCCCTGAACATGTTGTTCTCCAGGGCTGATGTGCAAACTCAAACTCAGAGGTGAGGAGGGTGGAAGGAATCTGCAGCTTAAGAAGATATCCCTGAGGAATTTATCTGCTGAAGAAACTAAAAAGCTGCTCTCAGAAACACTGTTTGGTCTTTTCCTGTGGGCAGTACGCACTTCTTGTTTTGAGGGGAAGCTGGGAATTTGAGGAGTACATAGAGCAGTTTTTTACTTACTTGTTAATGTCTGCTTTGTAGCCCCTCTTCTTGCCCAGCTGCCCTTGAGGTTACTGCTGGTGGCCTGGGGAGACTGTGGAGCTCTGGAGATACACCCAAGATTCAGAGAAGACTTGGCCTCTGGGGCCAGTAGTGAGCAAACACAAGCTACTGGTGGTGGCTGTTGGTGGTCCCTGTCTTTGGTTCCATCTGTGGGCACACCTCAGGCATGAGGTTCAGCCCCCTTGGGCTGATCCCTGTGATGGTTGGCTCATAAAACCACTTTCTGATGACTAAGTCACTTTCCCAGAGAGCTTGATGTGGCAGAAGGTTGCTATGGAGAGAGGAGGCACCAGGATTCCAGTCGCACGAATGGGGATCCCTGTTGAAAATGCTGACACCAGGCATTGCCTGGTTTAGCTTATAAAGAAAGAGAGAAAAACACAAAAAACCCAAAAAGCAGACCTTGCTTCACCATTTCTGACCATGTGCACACTCAGCTCCTACTCATTCTTTCATAGTTTAGGACCTGATCCAAGGGTGCCTCCTTGATCCAAGAGAAATGCAGCACTCTGGCAGGCCCCTCAGGGCCTGTCTGTCTTCCTCTGACTCTTGTCTATCTCCCCAGCACCCAGCCTGATGGATAGCTTTCTATAGGTGCTTGTTGCAGTAAAGAATGTGACCTTGGGCAAATGCATTCTCCTCTCCTGGATTCAATATTCTTATCCCAAAATGGGGGTAGTTGTAGAAGCAAGAATAGAGTGAAGGGGACTTTGAGCTTGAGTTGGACAGGAAAGTACAAGAGAGACTATAGAGGGCTTGGTGGGGAGAAGGCTGTAGAAACATTTTTGGGTGCTGCGGAGCTGATGGATAGTTCTTTATTTTTATTTTTTTTTCATTCTCAGTAGAGGATCACTTTCAAGAAGGACAAAAGCAATTTGGGCAAAGTTAGGAGCAAGTGGGGCTGAGTTCCTTTCATGAAGGATGGAGAGTTGTTGGTTCCAGGATACCCAGCCCCTTTGACCTCATGACATGTCCATCTGCAGATGGAGATAGCATCTCTGATAGATCAGGGCTAGCTTCAGACCTTAGATTTCAGGTTGCAGAAATAGCTGTTGTGATGTGAAGATATGAGAGAGGTGCCTAGGACTGTGGAGGAAGACTTAGGAGTTCCTCTGTGCCCTTTCTTGTGGGATAGCTGCAGAGGTAACAGTAGTAACAAGCTCATATGGTGAATTGGAGCCGAGGTCTTGTTGGGAACAAGAGGGTTTCCACTATCCTCAGCAGGGTGGCCTCACCCAGATATCTCAGAGGCATCTCTAAGAGCTCTTCCCAGCAGCTCTTAGTGGTCCTGTAGGCCAAGGCACACCTGAATTAGCCCAGGATCTTCAAGCATTTTTAATACCATCTCTCTGAGAGCCAGAAAATGATTACATGAGAGTCGGAGGATTCTAGGGTCTTAGGAATGGCAAATAGCTAAGAGTACCCTTTTCCCCTTGGGGTTTTCAGCTCCCTATCCCATTGAAAAGGACATGGCCTGCCTCAGACATTTTCCTCTCAGGATTCCTCTAGCACAGACGCCAAAAAGTCTAGAATCTGGGGTTTGGGGATAGGATGGTGGGAGGTGAAACTCCAGACGTTCATGCAGAAGTCATTTACCTGTAAAGCACATTTGCAAATACCACCCCCTCCCACCATGCTTGCTTTTTTCCATATTTCATTTTTCCCTCTACAACCCAAAGCTCTTCCAACTCTTTTTTTTCCACATAGTATACCTCCTTCCTGCTGCCTTGTTGGCTTGCAGACAAGAGCTCCAGGGACTAGAGCATTGCAGACAGGCCACATGCCAGAGGGGCCCAGCCTTCAATTCCTGGGACCTGTACACTGAGCAGCAGACTCAGGAGCTCAGACTAGAGACAGCTGCTGCTCAGCCTGTACTCTGGTAGAGCCAGCTCTGTCTAAGGTCTCTAAATCACTTGCAACTAGATCTCAGCACCTCCTGGACCAGTGACAGTAGTGTTGGAAAGCAACTCATCTGCTGACTGCTGCTGAGACTCCAGTGCAGGACAGAGGGAATCCAAATGCCCAGGGTTACAAAACCTGGCCACAGGGAGCCTGTTTCACAAATGGAACATTTCATGACTCCAGTCCTGTTGGCCTGGAGAGAGAATTAAGTTGGCAGCTTGAGTGCTAGTTTAGGTCATCCTGGGTTCAGTTTGTGGGCTAAGTGCATTCCTTGAGAAAGGATTGGACTAGCATAGCTAAGTATGCTGAATGTGAGTCGGGGGGGGGGGCTGTGGTCATGTTTCCTGAATTTTAGAATTTCTTAGCCCCTCATACTCCTGTCAATGACCTAGAGACTGAGAACCCAATGCCTTTTCCACCCTGGCAAACCCAGTACACCTGCTCATCCTTGCACTTCCCTGTGCAGCCTCTAGAGGGAGATTGCCAGAGCCAAGATTTTCACTACCATGCTGGCCTTCTACCACATAAAAAGCAGCAAGCTCTTCTTGGGCTGCATTGATGAACAGAGAAGCTGCTCTAAAGCCTCTGCTTTCCCCACAGGAAAAAACAGATACAAGGGCTCGGGTGCATTTTGAGAACAGAGCTTCCCTAAGGCCATCCTTGCATCTGTTGGTATAGGTTGGAGTGGGCAAGAAGGGAGGGGTGGAAATACTCTGACCAAAGAGCTGCCTAATCTGACTGGGCTCTGGGGCTCAGGAAGTTTGGATTCTCAGATTTGTAGAGCCCAAACCAAGCTCTTACAGGACAGCCATAGAGGACAGCTATAGCATCAAGGGTCTGTTTCCCTTGCAGATTTTGATTTTTGCAAGTTTGGTCCTGCACCCATACATGCTGGTGAGGAACCAAGATGCCATGTGAGAGGAGGGTTTGTCCAGGGTGATAGAACTAGTATGAGGATGCATTTTTCTTTCCACAGACCAACTAAATCTCTGAGAGTTCTCCTGACCTCCAAGCAGTGCCCATCCAAGAGATGAGCATTTGCTGCCTTATCCATCTTTGATAGCAAGTTTCTGGGAGACTGGGGCTTAGGACCACTTTACTACTATCCTTATGACCAAGCCTATGCCTCTTGAAAGCAGGTGGAGCCTTTGCCTTCAAACAACACAAAAATGCTTGCAGGCAAAACTTTTCTATAACATGGCCCCAATGTCAGGCTGGCATTGGATTCCTACAGATCTCACTTGATCCATCTGCATTTAGCCACTGGGTCACATGCTCTTGCTCTATCTTGATAGGTTTTCATTCCTAGGGAGTCTATCCAGGACTCTGTACTAGGAAACAGAACTGTAGTATGAGCTCTGTAAACCTGGGTACTCTCAGAGTCCTTGCCTGGCAAAACCAGATACTGACCCCTGCAAAGGGTTTGCATGCTTGGAGAAGTGGAGTTGGGCTTCCTCTCCACTCCTGGGCATAAAGTATCACAGTTTATCTTTGGGAATGAAGCTCTTCTCCCTCATACCTCTTTCCTCTTACTTGCACTCAGACCAGTGCCTAGCACACAAGCATGGAAACAAACCCCATCACCTATAACCTTAGGCAGCATCTTATTGTCACACTACACTAAAATAATCACTAATTTCTCTCAGCTGGTGGAGTGTTTGCCTACCATGAAGCTCTGGATTTAGTCCAAAGCACTGCATAGACAAAATGTAGTGGTGTACATACATATTCCCAGCACTTGGGAAATGTAGGCAAGTGGACAGAAGCTAACCATCACACTTGACTACATAGTGAGTTAAGGCTAGCCTGGGAAAATGGATGGGTGGATGGATGGATGGATGGATGGATGGATGGATGGATGCCAGCCTGAGAGAATGAATGAATGAATGAATGAATACAAAATAATGTTAAAGGCTTTACTTCTTTCTCACTCCTAGTTAATCTTTACTTGACATTTACCAACTTCCAGTGAGCTGCCCTAGTCTTCATTCTATTTGAGCAGTGATCTTTTTCTTTGTTGGTTCTCAATAGAGAATCTCAAATAACCCAGGCTGGACTTGAACTTGCTGTGTAGCCAAGGATGACCTTGCACTTCTGATTCTATTGCCTCCACCTCACCTGTGCTAAGAATACAGGAATTTATGTGGTGGTGAGAGTGGAACCCAGGTCCTTGCGGATGTTCAACAAGTACTGATCCAACTGCACTACATCCCTAGGCCCTTTCAGGTTTACTATCTTATTAGAAGGGGAATTAGATTTCTGATATGTAGTCAGGTCTGAGGGAAAGCTGGTGACATGGAAGCATCAGCCCCAGTTCTTTCTGGCACACATCGTTGCTCCTTTGCCTGGGGAGGGTCTTAATTTGAGAAGTGGCTTATTTGGTTCTAATATGTTAGGAAACTTCTAGACAACATGGCTATTGGATCTATCAAGGGGAAACCTCACAAGTTCTGGGTTTAATACAACACCTAGCATAGATGTGGCTGCTTTAGTGGGCATGAAAGTCACCAGCTTGCCCAGTTCCTATGTAGAAAACAGTGGCCACAGTCTCTGGGGTCTTAGTATGTCCTTGAGGTGCCTTACAGAAAATAAGTTAAGGCAGTAAAAAATGGCCTAGTATAATTTGAGGAACCAACCCGTGGGGTGTGTAGGGGCTAATTTGCTTTCATGCAAAGAGGAGACGAACTGTTCAAGGTTTTCACAGTTGATAGCATGAAAAGACCTAGGGACTGAAGGCTCAGGCTTTAGTGGTCTGCATACAGGCACTGACTGTACCATGCATTTTGGCACATATGGCCACTACATATGTCTACTAGGATGCAGACAATTGAGTTTATGCAACCATAAGAACAATTGAACTCTGATGTGGCAGCTTCAGTGCCATGATGAGGTTGCATTCCTGAGGTTGCATGTAGAAGGCTCAGCCTGCCTGGACTGCTCACTAGGTACAGTTTATGGAGAGCAGGCTCTTGCTGATGTGGCTAATTTTGTTTGGTGTTGGCCTCCTTCCCTTCCTCTTTAGTGTGCCCCCAACTTCCATGGAAACGTATCTAGGTCCTGCCAGCTGGCACCATTACTGAACTGGTCAGAGCCTAGCCCCAGAGGGACCCAGGGGGTTGCAGACCTCAAGGAGAAAAGCCTTTCTGCCTTAGCATCTCCAGGGCCTTGTTTTCTGTCCTTTCCACACCTCTGAACCGCCTAGGTTCTTTTTATATCCAAAGGAGCTGGTGTGGTTATTAAGAGAAATATCCAAACCCACAGTCTAGGCCTTTCCTCTTCCTCAGCTTTGAGTCTCTCAGCCTAGAGAACAGACTATGAGGAACCTGTTGGGTCTGACCAGAGTCTCCTCATATGATGCTGAGGCCACTCCTTAACATTGGGTGACGAAATAGGATGAGGAGCCCACCTCAAATAGGGCTGCAAATACCCACTTTGTCCTGTACTGATTAGAGAACACTGGCTGTCTTTCCTTCAGCAAACAGATTTAAAGTCACTACAACTTGGCTTTTGTCCAGCTGCCAATGATATTCCTGACTTTACAGCAGTCCAGAAATGTAGATCATTTCACTCTAATCTTACAGATGATAAAACTGAGGCGGCCCAGAGAGATTGATTTGCCCAAGGCCTGGCAGCTAGTGAAAGAAAGATGATCGAGCCATATTAATCTCCATGACAGTGTTGGAACTTCCTTATGACCACAAGCTCCCTTCACCAGAGTCTTTCCATTAGCACTCTCTGTGGCCTACCCTTAATAACTAACTAGAACAGACAATTCTTGACCACCCACATGTTTCCATATTCTCCAGGTGAGCAGCCATGGCTATACAGGTAGGTGTAGTACCCAGCAGTGGAATGTGTGCTTAGTCCTTGGCCTCTCTCATACATTCTGAATTCCACCGATTCTTGTCACCCTTGATACCTTGAAGGGAAACCTGTATGATCTTGCTGTGCTAAGATTACTCCAGGTTTGTTTCTCTATTATGATTTCATGCCTGAGGCTAGGTGCTATGCTAGAGAAAATATATTCATTTACTTCTGGAGACTCAAAGCCATAGCAGTAGCATCAGCTTGATTCAGGTAAGGGTCTCATGGCTGGTAGCATTACAGTGGTAGGCAAGAGAACCTGAGTTTGTAAGATGGAAAACCAGAGAAAAACCAGAGCTGGGCCAGACTTGCTTTTTGATAGCAAACACTCATGAGAACTACTCAATTTTCCTCAAGACATTAATTCCATCATACAGAACCTCTCCCAATTATCTAATCCAACCTTATTTTGTGTCAGGGGTGGGGATGGGAATGGGTGTGGGTGTTCGGGTGGAGGGGCTGATTATAGATGCATACATGTTCATATGCACATGTGTGTGCATGTTCATATGCAAGTGTGGAAGTCAGAGATCAATGTCAGGTGTCATTATCACTGTTTGCCTTATTTTATGAAATAAGGTCTTCTAGACTGACCTGCCAGCAAGCCTCAAGGATCCTCTTGTCTTTGCCTTTCCAGTACTAGAGCATAAGGTGTGTCACCATGGCAAGCTCTGACTGAGTCATTTTCCCATTCCCCAAAATTTCACTTAAGTGTCCACTCTTAATACTGCCACATTGGGACCAAGGTTCCAACACAAGAGCTTTTAGGGGACAAACCACATCTAAACTCTAATGGTGACCCACAAGCCATTACAATTCATATATTGACAGATCTGTGTTTGTCTTTGTTCCCAGGAGCCCACTGAATACACTAATTACAGAATTGAAAGATAAACATCATGAGTATTTCTTCATTAGGAGGTATTGGGAAAGGTGAGCCTGGGTTCCATGTCTGCCTGAATTATCCCAGGCAAAGCCCTAGAGGGCTATGAACACTGCCCATGCAGCTAATGGATGACCTCATAATGGGTGGACTGGCAAGGGCCCTGGGACTAGGGGCTATAGCTCCCTGTTTAAGGCTTTTCGCCTTACCCCTGCCAGGGAGGCCTGTACCATCTGGCGAAGAGGAGCGCAGTAATATCCTAAAACAGATGAAAGTACGAACTACACTGAAGGGTGACCAGAGCTGGATCACCAAGCATGACGACTCTGAGGACCATGCCATGTAAGTTCAGGACACAAGGCCAAGAGGGGAAGGCAGCAATAGTGGAGGCATGTGACCCAGTCCTTCCTGGGGATGCCAAGGACATTCCACCATTTAGAGCTTCGTCAAGCTGTGTGTCCTCTGGGCCAGCCAGGTGACATTAAAACTTGAAAACCTAAACACAGCCACAAATATCACAATCCTATGTGCTTAGAGGAATGTGTAGTCAAATACCTACCTGTAAAGTGGGTCAGGAAAGGGGAAGGTGGTGTTACACAGCAGACTAACTTTGGGATAGAGACACAGGGGTAAGAGGTGATGAGGAGCATGGGAGCCACTATCTTCAGGGCCTGTCTTTCTGCAGAGAGCAACTCTCAAGTCAAAGCCGAGCCACATCCAGAGACGAATCAAATGTCAGGTAAGAGGTGTTACCCAGCTGACTATTATGTGGACCCCAGGAGCTCTTCTGCAAGGAGGTGTAGACCTCACAGAAGGAACACATAGGGAGCAAGAATTGAGAGAGTATGGGAGATCTTTAATGAGTCATTTGTAATGTTCTTTGAACTTCCCTTTTAGTGTTTTTGCCCCCTCTCTCACTATTTCTAGCTTGTTCTCCTTAGTGCTCCCAAGACTTCTGAATCCCATCTATCATTGACAAACAACAGGCCCCAGTACTCAGCTGTTAACCAGACCTTCTGCTTTCACACTTCCACTGCCACTTGGAAGTGAGTGTTCCAAGGATCAGAGGAGGAAACATTCTAGAGGAGTGGGGAGGGAAGGCGGTAGGGCTTTACCTTCCATCAACACAGCCCCAGGTTGAGGTCAGCCTGGGCTTTGGCCAAAGGACTTTCAGTCTGATACAGGAGAGAACCAACAGATCTCTCCTTCAAGTGCCCTGGTGCCTGGCAGATCAGAAACTTCTGGAACTCTGCAGTAAATGTTCAACCATAAAGCAATCCTGGCCTGGTACCTGCTGTAAGGCTATGCTCACATGGTTGTGGAGGAGTCAGCCATGGCAGTGTTCCTGGAAGAGACTGAAGGAGAGATAGATGGAGCAGAGTGGGCACCTGGCCACTGTATTAGGACACCTATCAGCTGTTGTAGCTGGAAATAGGGTAAAATAAGTGGTCTGAAATCCATAGTAAGGCTACAATTTCCTTTATGTCTTTTCTCTTGGCAGGTCTCCAAACACAAGGGCTCCTGCTGGTTACATCATCCGGTAAGTGACTTCCAGACCCTACCTGCATCCTCATGCCACTAGGGCCACAACCAGACTTTTCAATACCTTCTGGTGTCTCTTGTAGGGGAGTGTTCACCCGAACAATAGATAGCTCTTCTCACTCCCAGCATCGCCCCTCTAAGACCAACGGCGCTCCAAGAAGGTACATCCTGACTAGATGATCAATAGGAAGGTTGGGAGATCCTTGTCCAGGGCCAAGTCTGAGAGAGGGCTAGCAAAGCAGGAATGTCCTGTCTGGCTTTTTCCCAGGAATAGAGGCTGGGAGGGGAGGTTCTCACCCAGGGAGAGGGGCTCTGGACAAAGATGTGGATTATGCCCACACATCTTCATTCTACTTACTCTTCATCCCCTTGGTCTCACAGCAGGCACCTTACACTTGCTGAGGGCTTTGAGCTGTGTGCTTAGTTCACCTTTCCAGTACCCCAAGGTGTCATGTTACCTAAACACCTTGATACCAGTCAAAACTGGGGCACTACTGGAGAAGATATGGAAGAGAGTCCAGTGGGCTGTTTCCTACTCAGTTGGGTCTGCCCTGCTCAGAATGCCTGGCAGAGCCAACAGGAAGACAGTCACCCAGTGGCCTCTGTCCTGTCTTTCCTGGGCTGTGGTTGGGCAGATGGAAATGACTTGCTCTTCTAGTGCTTCTGGGAAGCTGGGAGCAGCTAATTCTGGTCGTCCTCTTCAGTCTGGCTATAAGATGACTACAGAAGATTATAAGAAGCTGTGAGTATATAATGATGCCAGATACTGGACCTGCTGAAGGCAGGTGGACACTTACCTCTGAGCACAACCTGGGGAGAGCTATTCTTAGTGGCTTAATAACTTCTGCTACTTATAGATGTGGCCTGGAGCAAAGGATGACAAAGCTCTAGAAAAATGAATGGCCATGCCCAATACACTTTTTATAGGAGGCAAAGCATAGACTGTTGGAAGTTTCTTAGATTGCTACTGTCCCCATAGACTATTGGTGTGGGTATTTTGTACCTAAAACTGAGCTTCCCTTGAGGTTCCTTCCAAGGGCCCCTAGACTGGTAGGGGGCTCTAGACAGATGTCTGAATTGTGCCAGCACTTCCCAGGAGTCCACATCTTTATACAGCTTATTCCTTGCTCCCATCATCCTGTTTCATGGCACAGCTGGCTGTTGAGGGACCAAAAACAGGAGAAAAGAATGCTGGTTTTTAATTGGGAGCAAGTGGCATGAGCTAAGACTCAAGGTTGCATCAGAAATGTTAGTATCATTGACAGTAATAAGTCAAGATGCTGAGGGTAGTAGCTTGTAGCAGAGAACAGCAAGGACATGGAGGAAAAAGAGCCGTACCTGCATCTCTCCCCCACAGAGCACCGTACAACATCAGGCGCAGTTCCATATCAGGGACTGAGGAAGAGGAGGTACCATTCACCCCAGATGAGCAGAAACGGAGGTGATGGTGTTCATTTTGGGCATACCCATGGGCAGGGCAGGGGCCAGAGTCTTCAGAGATTGCTGAAAAGAATCATACAAGCCAAAGTACAAAATGCATAACACATAAATCATGAGGACACCCCATGTCTTTCCTGAAGTCTAGGAACTATCTCTCAGTGCTAGGCCAGCTCAGGAGGCACTTCTGAGAAACTTCTAGGGGTAGAATCTAGGAAACACAGCTCCACTAAAAAGGCTCATGTATAGATTCAAAAGGTCCCAAGGAACTTGAAAAATATGCAGGGCAAAGTACCCTAGTAGAGGCCATCTGCACTGTTCTTTAAATGCAGGAATGGGTCCAGAGTTTCAAATGTTTACAAAGGAGTCCAGCTAAAGGCCAACATCTGCCAACTCATATGTGGTTTAGGAAGCATAGTGACAACCCCTTGCTAAAGGCATTGGAAGGCTGTCAGTTCTGTGCAAAAAGACCACAATTGCACGAGGCTTGAAATCTGGATAGTGCAGGGGCAGGCAAATGAATAAGAACCTCTGATGGTGGCACCTACCGAATGCTATTCTGTCACCTGCTTAAGTGTGTGCATTTAGTCAAATCACCAGAGCAGTAGCCAGGCTCAGTCACTGATGGAGTATAACAGCACCTACTTGCCTGGGTTGGGAGAGTCAATGAACCAATGTGAAGATGTCAGCATTCCTGAGCAGGGTTGGGTACATTCTACATGCTCCCTAAGTAAGGGTCCCTCCCTCAGTATCTTTTGTCCCTCTGAATAGTTCTTAGAGAAGTCCTACCCTGGCTTATCCTTCTCAATCCCATGGTGTACTCCTGAGTCAGCCAGTGAACATCCCAGCTAGACTGACAGAGAGGCTAGACTGATATGCATCAAATGCCTCCCCCCTTACACTACCCTAGGTCCCAGGCTGCAATTGGTGTTCTGAGGAAGACAGCCCCACGGGAGCACTCTTACGTCCTTTCAGCAGCTAAGAAGACCACTAGGTGAGTTTTCCAGGAATGAGGCCCTGTGGGCTTGAGCCTGCCTTGGCCACTACTGACTCCATGTTCTGGGCTCCTTCTTCTTTGCCTGGGGCTTCAGCTTTCCTTTGACTAGTGAAATAATGAGTTGAGTACCCCCATGAGAATTCCAGCTTGAGCTCCAGGGCTCTCAGATGCACTTCTTAGAAAGATAAACAGACTAAAATTAAGTAAGGTCCTGAGAATTGGAAAGGTTTGACACTGTCTTGGGAGAGGGGCTAAGATGACACCCACACTTGAGCTTTTCCAACACATCCCCATTCTGCTTGCTTTCTAGCAGTCCTACTCAGGAGCTGCAGTTGCCATTCATTGCAAAAAGGTAAATATCAGCAAGGAAAGCCTCAGGAGCCAGGTGCTATCCAGACAGTAAGCCTGCTGTCAGTCGGGATGCTGGGGAAAGGAGGGCAGCTCTCTCTGAGCAAAGAGAGTCATGTGACGCCAAGTCAGGCATCTTTCTGGAGGCCAGGTGAAGACACATGTGTCCCTTTTAGCCAGTTCTATGCAGTTAGGAAACTGGCTGAAAGAATGCTTTTGCTTAAGGCTGAAGTGGCCTTAGCAGATGTCCTTACTACTTCCACAAGATGATAGGCACCAAGAAACCAAAATAGCAAGAGTCCTTGCTCTTTCCCTGCTCTGTGCTCTCCTGTCACCCAGAACTAGGACCAGAACCACCAAGAGAAACTTCATAGGAGCTGACTGTGATGTTATTGATTAGTCATATGGAACAAGCGGGGTGAAAGGCAGAATAAGTCCTATGTCAGGAGACTAGTTGAGGGA